ATTTTTTTATTTTGTACAAACAAAATAAATATATTGAAATATATAAAAACAATAAAAAATTATACTTCAGAAGTTAATTTAGTATAAAAAACGTAAAATATTTGAGTAGCTCAAGACATAGCCAAAGATTGCAGCGCCATAGCACTGGCGAAAATTTAAATTTGCTGACTGGAATTCTTTCGGATGATTGACTTTCGGATAATCGACGCTCTACTGTAGAATGATTACGAGTACGAGCTTACGCTCGTAATAGAACGCTCGAAAATAATCATAAGCGTAATCATAAGCGAAAAGATAAAAAAAAATTACAGCCCGTCAGCACAATTGCCAATTTAAACTCTGTCAACTCTGATGTGCTATAATTTCAAAAGAATCATTATAGTTATTTCACTTAAAATAAACGTCATATCTTTACTAAATGATATATTACAAAATTTTTTTTTTTCTTTCTTAATGTCGTTTCCTTAATTAAAGACTGGTTACCATAACAAAGTACTTCAAAAAGCATATGTAATTAACTGTAGTTGTATATTTAAAACGCGTTTTCATTTATCCATCCTTGCAACTCTTTATAATTTGGTTTATATTGAATATTGAAACACTAGTTCTCACGAAAAAGATCCTGTTCTAAACGAACGCATCTGTTTCAAGCATCTTGCAAACTGGCATAAATTTATTTAAAAATCTTTAAACTTATATTAAAAATTGAATCTGTAAACATGGTAAAAACCTTTTTACATGATCAAGATTTATAAGTATTTTCAGAAAGTTATAACTATGACTAATTAATTACTTGATTCATTTTAATAATATCATTAATATTAGTATTCGGCACCAGCTTTTGATAGGATAAACGTGATACCTGCAGAGATTAGTTGAATATAGGAACAATTTCAATTAAAAACACCTAAAAATTTGCCAAATAATTAATAAAATCATTTATTGCTGCAGCATGTTACTTAGTATTAGAATTGAAGACATTAGTGGATGAAGGCAGTCGGGTTTACAATGATTGGAACATAACATCATCCATTCGTGTATTAAATTAAAGTTTTTTGTTTTCGATTAAGTTTTATATTTGATACATTTGTACTATTATCGCCAATTTTCGACTAAAAAGAACTTTTAGCTTCTGAAATTTTATTATTTTTATTAATTTTTAATGCTTATTTTGTCCTTAAAACATAAAAAAATTGTAATTCTATTAGCTTAAAATTTATAATTCTCAGAACATACTGTTTTTCAGAAATTGGAAATTTATGAATGTATTGTCTACCATTGATCATTGTTTATTTTGAAACCTCTTAAGTGCTAACCAGTGACCGAGTGGTTAAAACCATTAAACACTAATATTAACACTGATCGCCCTTACGTCGAGGTGCCTTATCCCATAAATCCAAACCAATTTCCTAAAGAATATTTTCTGGATATTAATAAATAATAATGATAATCATTAAGTTCTTTAAATCACTTTATTGTAATCAATTAAAATTTATATAATTTATTAGATTAAATTAATTTAAAACAAGTAAATTATTATTATATATGTATATATGTATATATATTTATCTTAGATACATCCACTCATAATCCGTAAATAATGACTATTCTATTGACTGTAAATACAATATACATAATGTCAGTACTTATTTTATATGTAATAATGTGCGATTAAATTTGAAAATATTTTTCAATTCATTATTTTTCTTTCTTTCTGAATCAATTTCGTTAGAAATTATATCCCAGGTTTTTAACTAATTTCTTTTATGAATTTTGTAATATTTAAATTTATAATTTATGAAATTTGTTAAAAACTTGGAATAATAATTTTGCGAAATAAAGTGACCAATGAAATTATTAGAAAATAAAACTGTTATTCAGAAAAGCTAGAATGATAATGAATTGAATTAAGAGATACAGAATTTTAAAAATTTAATTGATGAAACAAAATGGAAAATTCTTAATTAACATTCGTTATCCATTATCATTTTAATGATCTTTTAACAATAAACATTTTAAAATAATTCATCTCAGTAGTACTGAGTCGGTTTTCAACATTTTCGTAACATCATTTGGTCCATATCAGTCACATTGAGCAAATATAATTGCTGTTATTTCATTAACTTTTCAGTTTCTATAAAAAATTTGGTTTTTTTTTTGTTAAATTCATTTTTCTTCACTTGTCCCGAGAAAAAATAATACATCACATCCATCAATAGACACGTTTAATATAGAAATATATGCACTTTAACTGAGACTGCTTTCTTCAACACTGGGTGAAGTTATCTCGCCATTCGTAGTAGATCGAAAGTCTGTCTCAATGGCTGGTCTTGCAGAACCTATAACGGCTGCTGTTGCAACAGTTGCTATGGCTGCACTGGCATTCGGTCGTGCAAACCTCATATTATGTGAGTATCCAGTTCCCATCCCGCTACTCGATGCTGTACTGCACGATGCGGCAGCCCTAACATTCTTGTAAGGCTGACATAAAACGATGTAAATCTTTGGAGTGAAGAAACATCCCAATGCTACTGTAGCACTGATATTTATGCACATACAAAGACTTGCAATTTGTATCTGTAAAAATTATTAAATGTAAGTTATATTTAAAACATGTTTAATTTAATAATAAACTCGGTGAATATCTATCAAATATACTACACAGGAATTGAATGAGAATGATCTAATGCAGTCAATTTTTGACTGATAAAAAGAAAATGCGTTTTCAGAATTTTTGTGTAAAAATTAATTGTAGCTGGTTTTTTTAAATTTAATATTTTCAGCTTTTTTCTAATATTATTACATACCAAATTAAAAATTTCTGATTTAGTCAGTCATGCTTTTTAAATGCCATCAATATATCGACATTGCTTTAATTTATTAACGAATAAATCACAATTTTATTTAACAACTTTCATTTTACGAAAACTTATTTGAAATATCCTTCAACTTTATTAATTATAGAATTTCTAATTAGAAAATAAATGTATTAATATATTACTTTCGTATTATTTATTTTCAAAGGTAAATAAATAAATAAATATAATTTAATAAATCAGAATAAAATAAATAAATCAGCCATTTTATAATTAATAAATTTGAACAATATTTAAATAGGTTTTCGTAAAATGAAAGTTGTTAAATTAAGTGTGATTTATTCGTTATATATTCACCTTTAGAAAATTTCCTCTGCACAATGTAAATATGCTTTACTAAAAAGCATTAAAAATACAGGATGTTCCAGAAAATCGTTTTTTGATTTTAATCATAGGCTATGCGGCAATCCAAAATTTACAATTTATGCCAACTAGAAATAAGGTTTCATGTGGTGTACAGTAAATCGAATTCTAGACATATAAACGTTTACACATTTCTGGATTTACGAGCTGTAGCACTTCTGACCCTGATCTCCAAAGCTCCTAGGGTTGCAATTTTGTCACGGAACACCTCATCCTTTAGAAAGTAATCGCACAGATTTAAGTCCGGAAAAGTGGAAGGTCCTGAATAACCAATGTCAAAATACTGGGAACAACGATGCGACAGAACACTTTCGTCAAAGTTTTCATTCAAAAAGCTTCTGAAATCAGGGTCAGAGAAATTCTACAGCTCGTGAATCGAGAAATATGCAAACATTTTATATACAATTTCATGTCTAAAATTTGATTAATTGTCATTATGTGGATACATTGAACCTTATTGTCGCAAAACTTTTAAATGGAAAAAACACGACTAATATAGCTTTGTATTGATATAAATTGTAAATTTGGATTTGCAATGGTTGCCGCATAATCCCATATTAATTAAAATCGTTTCTTTTTGGTGGAACGCTCTGTACAGTTACAAATGTTTAAAATTTTTAGATTGAATATCATTGTTTTTCTTCGATAAAATCTTTAAAAGATAATATTTAAAAGTGACTGACAGCATTCATTATTGTTTTTCCAAATATAGTTTTTAGCTTTTTAATTCTAATCTTTTACTTTTTCTATAAATATAAAAATATTTAAACTTAAATCCCTCTTTATTTCTATAAACTGAAGAATAACTTGTAAAATAATAATTTGTTCTACAGAGCTCCCATAAGTCACGCACCATAAGGAAAATAATTATTCAGATGATACGTTCGATGTGATTGTCATTCTGTTTCACAGAGGTTCAGATGATACAATCATTCCGCACACCTTGCAAGATATCAGGGGTCCACGGTAAGCGTCTATTTGATTGTAGCCTTTAAAATCATTACATTACACTTTGCATACGGTGAGGGACTTATGGTATACCCTGTATTTAATAGTTAATAGTTATTACGCATTATAAATACAGTGGTGCCTCGTATAACGTACGCCTCGAATAACGGACGCTGCGAATAACGGACTTTCTGTTTGACCGTTATGTGACTCGAGCAACGGACTTGCTGCGAACAACAAACTTTCCGTTCGGCAGTTACGTGAGACGAACAATGGACTTTTTTCGAACAAGTGCGAATGATGTTTCCACTCTTTTGCCGTTGCCAATGACAATCTGCTATTTTTAGGATATATTAGTATTATTAGAATGTAATGTAATATATGTTGACGATTCAAATAAACGAAATGTAATTGTGTAGATGCCGAGGTGGCGGGACGAAAAGAGGTTGTAAAAAACAAACGGAGCGAGAGTAGCTCGTAGAAGTGTTTAGTGATCTTAATTAATAAAGAATTATTCGTATCATATAATCTGGCAAGTTAAGTCATTTATAATGCATCATGGCTTCTAAAAAAACAGAAAGGTGATTTCAATTGAAACAAAGCAAGAAATCATCAGGAGTGAAAGTTGACAAAAACTTTCTTGTCGAATGGGGAGAGGTTCAGGAGTTTACCAACACTCATTATCCAAACAGAGCTGAGGCCAACAGGATCAATGATCTCTACGATGACACCTTTGTCCGTCATTTCCGACAGGTGTTAAAGAAGAAAGAGAAACAGACCACCTTGGTCATGTTTTTCAAGAAGCCAGCGGGCAAAAAACAAAGGATGGAACAAGAGAAGTTGACCCTGCAAGTTCCGGTAGCCTCTCCTGAATCTGAATCCGATTAAAAAACAATAAAAAAAGACCCGCTGCAATGTGTAAAAAGTCTGTATCTGTATGAATGTGTAAAGAAAGTGTTCTTCCACCTCCTCCTCACAACATCTGACTACCCGGCATAATTGCTTTCTGCTCCATTTTCATTTTTTATGGTACAGTACGGTTATTTTATGCTGCGGAACGAATTATATGTTTTAACATGTATTTCTTTGGGAAAATGCGTTTCGTATAACGGACGTTTCACTTAACGGACGTGCACCTAGAACGGATTAAGTACGTTGTACGAGGCACCACTGTATTCTTATACGGCATATGAAACCAGTTTAGCAAAAGTTTTGACAGTATAAATTTGTTTAATATTTACCTTATAGTCATTCTTTGTGCCAAAATAAATTGGGATGAATGCTAACCAGACAATACACGTCGAATACATGGTAAATCCCACGTATTTTGCTTCATTAAAGTTCTCAGGAATTTTTCTTGTTTTGAAAGCATATGTAGTGCAAAGGACGATTAAAATCATGTTATATATAAGTGAAACGACAAGAGAAATGCTAGAAATTCCACATTGTAATACAGCTGATCTGGGATTGTTGTGATAAACTTCTTTTAGACTAGGAGGTTCTACAATTAGCCACGTTATAGCAAAGATGAGTTGAACGGATACTAAACCCAAACAAATAGCAATCTGAGATCTGGGACTGGTATAACTTGGTCTTTTAATACTTTTAATTCCTTGATTAAAAATTCTAGCAATTCTGTTAGTTTTAGTGAAAATTGCCGAATAGCAGATGCTCAAACAAAGGCCTAGGCCAACCCTCAATAACATGCAGGTTATGGTAGTAGGCTTGGATAAAATTATATAGGTCATAGAGTAACAAAGAAGAATTCCAATTAATAGAACATAGCAAAGTTCTCTTCCGGAAGCCATTATTATCGGTGTTCTGCTGAAGTGAAGAAATACTGTGAAGAAAAATAAAGTACATAATATGCCAAGTGATGCAAATGCAGCAGGAATGATTGCCCAAGGACTGTCCCACGTCATATATTGAATTGGTAATTTTTCACATTCAGTTTTGTCAACTCGAGGTTCGTGACCCGGAGGGCAAGGTAAACAACTGTCATTTGATATATATTCATCTGATCTGCACGGAACACAGATCCAGCAGCAAGGTTGTCCTTGATATTGTCTTACATAGCCAGTATTACAAAATTCACTGCATCTTGATAATGGAGCAGAAATGTTACTGTCTTCCCATTTAATCAACGTCATATTTATTTGAAGGCTGCAAAATTAAATAGTTTATAAATTTACTAGATATTAACAATTTAAAATTACTTTTTAAGATTAATGCAAATTTTTAAATTTACATTAATCTTATCTAAATTCAGAAGAGATTTTGCATTAGACAAGCGTAAATTCTAACAAGTTTAATAATCTAACAAGTTTTTTTCCTTTAAAAAGCTTTTTACAAAGTAAAAAAGGATATAAAATAATTCTACACTCTTCTCGCTGTTATTCTTTATAAAAAATGCATGTTCGTTTTTTTTAAATTCAGAACTGCTATTTTGTTTCTCGATCATCGTAAGAATGTTTATATTTTTGTTTTTAAAACAACCAATTTTTCAAGATCTGCAGAGATATTTCAGAATAAAAAAATTCATATCAATACAGAAGATTCGGTTGGCATACGTCCCCCATAGAATTGGTTAAAATATTTACATATAAAATTTTAGTACAGTTTTATTTCATTATTTTATATTAATGTTTATCTGTAGATTTTTTAGAAAAAAATCCAAACTTTTTCGAATTTATTAGTTAAGAGTGAGTGTTTTTTTAATCCACGTATCCCGGTGTACTGCTTTATAATCCTTTTTCCTGTATAGTGGCTAACTACTAACTGAAAGTGAATTATGTCATAAAAAAAAGGTCTTAAATATTTGTTTATATTTATACCATTTGATTTATAAAAATATTCGAACTTTCAAAAAATTATAACATTATTTGAATTTCAAAATTAGAATATTATTTAAGGCTGAATGTAACCTCTTTGGTTAGGTACGCGATCTCCAGCAGATGACCTTAAAAATCGAATACTTTGTCTATAGGAAAATACATTTCCAAAAACTCTCGAAAACGGAAGCAGATAGAATCAGTTTGTTGCGTTAAAATCGTATTTAATTATTTTATTAACGCATTAATTATTTTATTAACGATTTTTTCAGATGCTTGAAAGTTAAATTTGTTAATTTTCTATGTTTTTTTAAAAATTTATAGAAAAATAGCAAATTCGATTTTCAATTTTCTAGGTATAATCTAGATATGATGTAGAGAACATTTCATTTCGGAAATTAAGAATAGTTTTGTTTATTTAATTAATGGTATAATATAAAAGAGCTTTGTTGCACAGAAAAAAAGCTACAAGTGAAATATTTGTATTCGGAAAATAATTTTTTAATAAAATTTTTTACTGGGAAATGCTGTTTTTACGAAATTAAAAATGAAAATTTTTATAAAATATATGCCAAAATATCATAACTAAAGATGGACTATATAAACTTTAGTATTAGTTTTTGCAAAAAAAACTTAAGTTTTGAATATTTGGAACGTATCCAATTGATGTATATCATATAATTTATCTTTTATTTATATTGGCAATTTCCCAACAGTGGCCGAGTGGAGAAAACCACTGAACACTGATTATGGGTTTTCGGCTTAGCAACAGGTTGGACAGATGAAGTTTCCTGGATTTTCTTCACGTGTGTAACTTTTAAATAGGGACCAGTTTTCCATAGAAAGCTCTCCTGAACGTGTCCTCCCTTGGCAGATCGCTCTTGTTTTGTATTGTCATATCTTATCAAACCAACCCACTACATTGACATCTTCAGAACTTTGAGTAAAACAAAACCCTACTGTATTAGCATGATTTAATATTCTGAAGGATGAATTTCGACCATTTCAGTCCCATAATTATTGCCTAAACATTTATCATCGTTTCTTTCTTTCTGCAATTTCTTTTTATTTAAGCAGATAGGAAAAAATCTTAAAATTTACATAGCCAACAGTCTTCTTGTAAATTGTGATGAAATTTATGTCTACATACTGTAAATCTGAAAGTCATAAATGATCTCTATAAAAATTTGTTACATTATGATTAATGATGCAAAGAAAATTTATTTGTTCGAATAATATTTTAGTATTCATAGATATTATATAAACATTATAGCTATTTATATTGTTACAGTAATTCTGTAATGCAAATCTATATTTATCAATGGATCCAATTATTATAACAATTAATAAAACTCTTTTTCTCTATTTAATATAGATATTTTTCTTTACAAAAAATAAATGTTAACAATTTAACACATATTTTAACAATATAAATTTCCATATTGAATTTATGCTGTGATTTTGTCCATTTTTTTCTGATTTATCAACAAATTAAAAAAGTGTTATTATTATAAATTCGAGAAATATTTTCAATGCATTAATAAATATCTCCTACTCAGAATATTTGTGACCTAATTCCGAAATTGTCGATTTTAATTATGTGCATCTAGAACAAGGGAAAAATCAATTTGATACTGCAAATAGCTGAATAGGAATGAAAAATTGAAATTTCGACAAAAAATATAAAAGCAATTATCTCAGAACGCCATTTTTTGTATTTACGTCACTAATGTTTTCATCAGGTAATATTAATATGTTCTGTTTTTACTGTACAGGACTTAATCTGCATATTGTATAAAATTATCGCAAACGCCCGAGATAATTTTACTTAAGAGCTACAATAAGATTAAAAAGTAAATCCGTAAAAACCATGAAAACGAATTTAGTGTAGAACAATTAATTGAAGAACAAAGATATAACAGTGAAAACGACTTCGTAAGAACACAATTGAGTATAGTAGTTGTTAAATTGTTAAAATAATTATCTATGATATTACTACGAGTAGGATCTAAAATAATAAATAAATAACAATTAAAAATTGGCTTAGAAATTAAAGAAATTAATTTAAATAAATTTTAAATCGCACTTTTTACTTATAATACTTTAAATGCATTTATAAAAATTAAAAAAAATTGATTTATTAAATAATGTACTTTTGTAGTGTAAAGTTTCAAAAATGTTAAATAGATTTATTGATATATGAAAGTAAAAATTCAGAATTTATTTTCAAACTATTTAGTTTAAAGCCAAACTTAATAACTTTATAAATTACATGAATTGATAAATATTTGTAATCAATTTTATTGGGCAGTATATGAGAAACATTTGTCCAAAGAAAAACATGTAATTTGAGTTATATGTAAATATTTAAGTAGTTTCATGAATATTTAAAGATTTAGTTTTAGCGATAACTATTTAATATTCGATGCATCATTAATTATGATTCCATTTAATTATTAAACATAAATTATGTTTGTCCACTGAACTAATAGTATTTTAAAAATAACTAAATAAATAGGGGAGACCGGGGCAAGATCGGCATGTTAAGCTTTACTTAAATTTTGTGTAATAAATACTGCTGTAAACTGAAAAAAAAGCTATGTATATTGTCTATTGGAATGTTACCTTACTATAGAACTGGTTAAAATCAGTTTGGAAATAAAAATAATTAAAATAATTACAACTTTACAAGAAGAGAGAAATTGACGAAGTTGCCCCGGGTATAGGGGCAAGATCGGCAACTTCTCTCTTTTTGTAAAGTTGTAATTATTTAAATTATTTTTATTAAAGTTGCCCCTGGTATAGGGGCAACAGTAATGGGGCAAGATAGGCACGTATATAAAATTATGCTATTAACAATGTATAAGTTGGAATTCACTATTAAAACAAAGAAATACAAATCCAACACCCATTTAATATTATTACAACGAAATGCAAGTTCAAAGACATATATACATGAATAACAAATGCAAACATGTTTTCATTTATCATCTGTTTGATTTTTATCCTTTGCTTCTAATGTGGCTTTATGTTGCCGATCTTACCCCGCTAGTCATGATTTCGAAACATTAAGTACAACCCTGAGAACAGAATGCCAAGCCACGATCTGGCCACGTGAATAAGTTGAAGTTACATCCTTCTAACAGGAAAAGTAACTTTCGTTATCATGGAATTATAACAAAACCTGCCAATTCAATATAAATGGAAAAAAAAAAATATTATATGGAATTGAACGAAAATGAAAATTTGCTTGATAATTCAACTACGCTTGTTGGAGAACAATAAAAACACTACACTCAACAAGCCACCAATAAAACTCAACTGCCTAACCTATAACCAAAGTCTCCTTCTAATTTGTTTTTAAAAAAAAAGCGCTTGACAAACTTGCCCCGCATGCCGAAGTTGCCCCGGTCTCCCCTAAATGTAAACAAAAAAAATGTGAAATATACAAATAAATTACATGTGATAAATTAACCTTTCAGTCCACTCTCCAACTACTTTATAATCATATTTATCCTGTCCTGTCTTCTGATATTGATAAATATGATAATTTCCAGGAGCATCACCATCTTGATTGAATCTAACAATTATTCCTTCACCTTGTCTACCTAAAAATAAAAGCATATAAATGTACTGAAAATATATACATATGCAATTTTCATTAAATTAATAAAGTTTTAAAGTAGTAACAAGTTGTAATTAATAAGTTAAATTTTCTATTTTTAAGAATAATTTTTCGATTTAAAAATTGTATAATTACTTGGAAATGAAACATTTTTGATATATTGTAGCAAATCCTTTCCTGGAGGTGGATTCATATCCTTGCATAACAAACTCGGTGGGATACAAACATTTTGCATCATATTATGCAATGCATAAGCCATGGCGTAGACAGCATCAACAACAAATGTAACAAGTCCTTCTTGCTCATACTTTGTACGCAAATTTTCGCCTTTTGTAAAATTTATAAATTAAATTAGTTGATTAATTTCATTAAACAACATCTAATAAACAATTATTCAAAGAATAACATACTAAACAATGAATATACAATAGAGAAAAAACAAATAAATTTTGTGGTATACAGTTTAAGAAGTCTTACGATAATTAAATATAAAACAATACATTTTAATTTAAAAATTAAGTTAATTAAAAACCTAAACTTATATATTCAGAACAGTTGAAAATTTGCATTTATTATTTCATTAGGACATATTTTAAAATGTTTAAGAACATTTATACTGTATTTAATTAATTATAACAAATTATTAAAGTAAACTTTAACAGAAATTTTTATTAGTCCATTATTATTAGCAGATTTAATTTTAAAAATGTTAGGAAAGTCATAAGTGTAACGGAACGTATTCAATTTTATTAGATGTGCAAAATATAATAAATTATTTATTATTAATTTAATAAATAATTATTAAAATTATTTATTAGATGTGCAAAATTACTAAGAAATGCACGAAGAGTCAGTCAATCAGTACTATTAATAATATAAATTATTAATAGTACTGATTGACTGACTCTTCGTGCATTTCTTAGTAAAAAGGGTAGTAAGAGCATTTTGTAAATTTATTAACTTATATAAGTTGGTAAATTGCTGCAATAATAAGTTGCATTTCTTTTGCAGCAGACATATTGAAGCGAACTGTTACTAAAAATAAATTCTCTTTAAAACGAAACCTCATTAAGCTCCTTTTAAATGAAATGTTTATAATGCACCAAAAATATCTTAATACATGCTGCAAAAAGTCGCTGTAATGATCTTTACGAGAAAATTAAAATGAAGGATTGAAGTTTAATGTTGTTTTATCTTATGAAAAAAATTCGAGTTACTGTTAATAGGAAACTCTCCTGATGACTATACTATTGACTTTTTAACAGAAAGATTAAACGTTTGATCTTCCCATTAACTTGTGGAGACTTTACGTCTGCATCTCGTTGGTTCTCCCGTCTGTCTTGAAGGAATGCTTCCGAGTTCGTGGAAAAAGCTGCTGGAGAAGGAGAGAAAGCGCTGTGGCTTTTTTCTTTTTGCAGACAGTCGCTACCTCTCGAACTGCGAAGACGACTGCTACGATAATCGAAGGACTGCCTGTAACAAACTACTCCAATACGCTAATGGAAATGTTAATTGTTAACTGTATGCAAAAGTTTTGTGAATGATCAATTTTAAAATTTGAAATATATAGAGACGATAAGTACGAATTTTTACCGTATCAAATACATAATGACTGTTTTCGTTTTAAAGCATAAATTCAATTTTAGTTTATGTGAATCTTCAATTTATGTTTGAAAAAGAGGTGCAGCAAAATATAGAGACGGTCTCACGGCATTATTTACATTTTACTCTTGCTAAAAAAGAATGCAACTATAGTTTCCTTCCTATTATCACTTTGAGTAATCGATTGACTTCGAGTATTTTGAGTCTATATGACTCAAAATATAACTCAGATAAGAATATTTTTTATTTAAATGTATAAATCCTGTCTGATGAAAACTGAATAGACCTTCCACAACGTTACGAGAGGAAATCTGAAAAATTGACGATTCGATTCTGATATGGAGATTGTATGTCTAAAATTGACTATGGAAAATTTCATTAGTTTAACGGACTGCCACCATAATCAAGTTTTGATATGAACTTTTGTATTTTATCCAAGCAAAGAAATAAGATTACTTCGATACTGTTTCTTCATTTCTAATGGCCTAGTAAAAAGAACGAGCTTAGGTTTTAATGGGTTCTAATTATTTCTTAATATGCTAAAGCTATAATATGTCAAATGTACAGTTGTTTTATGTTACGCGGGGCACCATTATATATTTGCAGGTGTATATGAATGTGCGTAAGTTAGATTTTCGTTAATATATTCTACATACGATGGCTATTCGGAAATCAATTCCAGGTGAGATGTTAGAAAAAAACAGGAAAAGAAGAAAACAATTTTATTATGTACAAAAGTTAGCTACATGCCGAGGCTACTTCTCGACGTAATCGCCTTGTAAATTCAGGGACTTGTCATAGCGTGGGACGAGTTTCTATATCCCTTCATCAAAGAAGTTTCCACCTGGGCGCTGAAGCAGTCATTTATATCATCCATCAGCTCCTCATTTGTGTGGAAATGCTACGTTTTCAGTTAGACCTTCATTCGCAAGAAAATATTTAAATTTCTAGGGACAAGATCTGCTCTATACGGTGAGTGCGGAAATAGGTCCCAACGAAACTGCTGCAGAGAGCTTACGTGCAAACAGCTGTGTATGGGCGTGCGTTGTCAAGCAGAAACACTCAATACCTGACGTCAACATTCTTCTTCGTTTGTTTGAATGGATTTAGGCAGCTTTTTCAAAATTTCATAGAACGTCTGTGAAGTTATCTCTCATGCGATAACTTCTTTGATGATAGGATACAGAAACTCGTCCCACGCTATGAAAAGTTCCCAAATTTACAGGACGAGACGTAGCCTCGATATGCTTTTGTAACCTTTTGTAAATAATCAATTGTTTACTTCCTTTCTTGTTTTTCTAACTCCTCATAAGAAGTTGAACTTCGAATAATCCTCATATATTCATGCTAACGGTAACTTTAAATTTGAAGTGATACGAAAACATATTTTTGCTTTATTTTTTGTTCCCGTGACGACAGAAAAACTTTTCTACGAATAAAAATGGATGAAAATAGAAAAATTTTTCCAAGAGTTTTCAATACAATATTCTTTTATTAAAACTTTTAATGTTCAATTTGAAGAAAGTTTGGCTAATAATAATTTTTCTTGAAATGAGCCGAGTTTCTAAAGTGTTATGTTGTCATTTTCATTATTATGAATGCAACGTTTTTTATTTCTATGTTTGTCTGTTTTCATTATAAGAAAAGCGATTAAACGAAAATATTGAACCAAGTAGCTTCAGTGACCATGTTTAGTTTCAAAGAGATTTTACAGGAAACAGTGCTTTTCTATAAAAATTCCCAACATAAGTTATAATATATTCAGATTATTAGCTTGACATGAAAAACCAAACATATTAGTCTTATAATATTTGTGAAGCATTATGTTTTTCTTTTATCTTGTAAAAGAACAGAATCAAATACATCATCATCGGCAGTATTATTTGAGAAAGTAGAAATTTGTATGTCTGTGTTTGTTTGTGTATAAAGTTGTTTTGTATTTAAAATGGTCAACTTGGGGCACGTCTAAATGGCAAGCAACTAAGTAATGATGGAGTCCGTTTTACATGAAACGACGTAGCCTATATCATTGACTTGCTTACTTAAACTGCTTGCCACTAGACATACCTTTGTGATTATTCATTTTTAAACTTTTGAATAGGAAAAAAACAAGGAAATTTATTGAACTAAATATTAATTAATTATTATAAAAAATTCCATAACTAAATAATTACATTAATTAAACATACAACGCTAAGAGCCAGTTCAAAATGAAAGGAGTGATCGTGATATATCCTCTTGGGATCCACTACTGAAAAAAACTATTTTTTTTTATTGAAGTTTTGTTTTGCTTTTGACCTTTAGGTGTCACTTATTAGTAAACTGCCATTTTTCTAAAATTTTTTTGTTCTGGTCATTAAAAAATGGTACGTGTCCTATATGACACAATGGTTTTCTACCTATACAAAATGCAAAATTTCCATTCATGTAAAAATGGTTTATTTGACTGTTTTTGTATATTATTTTACATTTTATATTTACATATGATATGCTTTGAAACAAATTTTATTTTACCAAGGCACAGATGTATTTTGCAGTTGATACAGTACACTGTAGCTCATACACTTTTACATTCTTCCATTGGGCAGTGGTAATTTTTGCAATTTACTATGATTTCTAGCATGTGTTTTGCTTCACTTTTGCATTGTATTTCACTGGGATGCAAAGTTGAAGTATTTTTTGTATGATTTTCTTCGTTTTTCGTCATTTTTATTGATCCCTTTTTTCTTATTGCCTGTACTGTCTGAATGTGATAGCGATTTTGACACTTTTTTTAATTTGTTCTTTGAGCAGACTAATGACTTACACTCTCCAGGACAGTCTGCTCAAAGAACAAATGTTTGGTCA